CATTGGTATCTGGGGAATGTGGATAAGGGACTCTGTGGATTATGGACACTGGGATCTTGGTAGTGAGGACACGACTCTTTATAGAGTTTGGACACAGCTCTGTGGGGTGTGGACACTGGGATAGGAGGAGTGTGAACAATGGGAACTGTGGAGTGTGTACTCTGGGATCGGGGGAATGTGATCACTGGGATCAGTGGTGTGGGGACATTGGCATCTGGGGAGTGTGGACACTGTGATCTGGGCAGTGTGGACACTGGAATCTATGGAGTCTGGATATTGGGATGTGGGGAGTTTGGACACTGTACTCTTTTGGGTGTTAACATTAGGATCTGGGGAGTGTTGAACCTGGGATCAGAGGAGTGTGCACACTGGGCTCTGGGTAGTATGCACACTGGGAATTGAGTGGTGTGGACATTGGGATCTCAGGAGTGTGCATGCAGGGATCTGGGTAGTGTGGACCCTGGGTTCAGAAGACTGTGCCCACTGGTATCTGAGCAGTGTGGACACTGGGGAGTGTGAACATTGGATCTGGGGAGTATGGACACTGTGCTGGGTGGGGTGTGGACACCGGCATCATTGGAGTCTGCACACTGAACTCTGGGTAGTGTGGATAATGGTATCAGGGGAGTGAATACACAGTGATTAGTGAGGACACTAAGATCTGGGGAATGTGGACACTTGAGTCCATGCACTGTGGACACTGGGATCTTGGGATTGTGGACACTAGGATTTAGGCAGTTTGGACACTGGAATCTATGGAATGCGGATACTGGGATGTGGGAAGTTTGGGCACTGTATTCTTTAAAATATTGACACTGGGATATGGGGAGTGTGGATCCTGGGATCAGAGGAGGGTGAAAACTGGACTCTGGATCGTGTGAACAGTGGGATGTGGGAGGGTGGGCACTAGGATCTGGAGAGTGTGGACACAGGAAACTAGGAATGTGGACACTGGGATCTATGGAGTTTGGAAACTGGAATAGGAGGATTGTGCACACTGTGATCTGGGGAGTGTGTACACTGGTACCTTGGGAGTGTGTACACTGGGATATGGGGCGTGTGGACACTGGGATCGGTGGAGTGTGTTCACTGCCATTGGGGGAGTGTGAACAGTGGGATCTGGGGAATATGGAAATTGGGATCTAGGGAGTGTGGACACTGGGATCTGGGGAGTGTGGACACTGGAATCTGGGGAGTGTGGACACTGGGATCTGGGGAGTGTGCACACTGGAATCTATGGAGTCTTGATACTGGGAAGTGGGGAGTTTGGACACTGTAACTTTAGAGTTTTGACACTGAGATATGGGGAGTATGGACCCTGGGATCTCAGGAGTGCGAGCATTGGACTCTGAGTAGTGAGCACCCTGGGATCTGGGAGTTTGGACACTAGGATCTGATGAGTGTGGACACTGGGATCTTGGGAGTGAGGACATTGGACTTTGAAGGTGTGCACTCTGGACTCTGAGGAGTGTGCATATTGGGATCTAGGAGGGTGGACACTGGGATCTCTGAATCTATGGAGTCTGGATACTGGGATATGAGGAGTTTGGACACTCTTTCGAGTGTGAACACTGTGATATGGGGAGTGTGGACCATGGGATTTGAGGAGTGTGCACACTGGTCTCTGGGTAATGTGCACACTGTGATCTGGGAGTGTGGTTGCTGGGATCTGGGGAGTGTGGACACTGGGATCTGGGGAGTGTGGACACTGGGATCTGGGGAGTGTGGACACTGGGATAGGGGGAGTGTGCCCACTTGGATCGAGGTTCTGTGCACACTGGGATCTTGGGAGTGTGGATACTGGGATCTTGGGAGTCTTGACACTGTGGTGTTGGGAGTGTGGACAGTGGGATCTGGGGAGTGTGGACACTGGGATCTGGCAGTGTGGACACTGGGATCAGGCAAGTCCAGACACTTGGATCTGGGGAGTATGGACACTGTGATCTGGGGATTGTGAACACTGGGATCAGGGAGTATGACCATTGGGATCCGGGGAGTGTGGACACCGTGATGTGGGGACTCTGGAGGGTGAATTCTGTGGAGTGTGGACACTGGAGTCTGGTGACTGTGCACACTGGGATCTAGGGCATGGGGACACTGGTATCTGGGGAATGTGGACTAGGGACTAGGAATTGGGTTGTGTGGAAACTGGGTCTGAGGAAAGTACACCCAGGGATCTGGGGAGTGTGAACCCTAAGAACAGAGGAGTGTGCACACTGGACTCTGGGTAGTGTGTACACTGGTATCTGAGCAGTGTGGCCACTGGGAACTGGGTATTGTGCACATTGGATCTGGGGAGTGTGGACAATGTGCTCGGTGGGGTGTGGCCACTGGCATCTGGGGAGTCTGCACACTGCACTTTGGGTAGTGTGGGTAATTGTATCAGGGGAGTGAACACACTGTGATGACGGAGAACACTAAGATCTGGGGAATGTGGACGCTTGAGTCCATGGACGGTGGACACTGAAGCGTGGGGAGTGTGGACACTGGGATCTGGCAGTTTCAACACTGGGATCAGGGAAGTCTGGACACTTGGATCTGGGCATTGTGAACACTGGTATCAGGGGAGTGTGAACATTGGGATCCGGGGAGT